ATGCTGAACTCCAAATTGAAAACAGTACCGCCAGACCACCATTTTCCCTTGTTTAATCATCTACTTTTTAAAGAGATTGTGGCTGTTAAGCTATCGCTCTCTTCATCAACACTTACTTCCGAGGGACCATTTACCTCTTCCATGACCAAAACCATAGCATGTGGCATGCTCCACTAATTCAACCTTGCCATGCATTTTGTTAGCCATAAGTTGTCGGTCCTTAAATTACGATACATAATAGGTTGGAATGGCATCTTTCCAATATGATGTAATATGACAGACTCATGGGTGCTATCAAGCAGTGTTCCTTATCAAAAGTTTACCAATGTTTCTCATTTTCTTATTGACAATAAGTTGATGCATCAGTTATACTACCCAGCACTAGCATCAGCTACTATAATATACATTGGCAGACTTTTGCAAAGTAGTTAGCATGTATTATTCCATGTTATGAATCAATTTAAGAGGACATCTCAAATACATTTTCTGTGACATAAAGTCTCTCCATACATGTTAATGATCGATGGTGTGAATGTTGGTCATAAGTCAAGCAAGGTTACCTTAAACGCACTAAAATGCAAAGCCCAATCAAGTTAGCTGAAGCTAAGAATTCAGGTCACGTGCGTTCTGATGATACCAGTGAGCAGTTTAGGGAAGACTTAGTGCTTAGATACACCATTTATTTTAGCCCTTGTTATCAGTGCAAATGTACATGTGTCCCCACCTTTATTCCCATCTTATCACTGGCCACTTAATGTTTCCACTTTCATTCCCATGGGATAAAATACATAAAAAAAATCACAAAATTAACCCAAAATCGTCATTGTCACAATTTTCATTCCACTGCTGACCGCAGCAAGAATAAATACTAAATGTTGGTAATTTTCCACACCCGTTTATCCGTTAAAGTAGGATTAAGAGTTTTAATAGTTTTAATATTTCAGAGAAATTCTCCCCAGAATGCTAATACTTCTATCTGAATGTATTAATAAATTTAAAAAAAAAAACAATCTAATCTTAACAGAATCTAAAGAACACCCAAAGACCTACCTAGAAAAAGCTCTCATGCCTCAAACAAAGCATCCTCATGTCTCCTTTACAGTTTTGTTCAATAAACATGATTAATAAGCAGACAATGTATCCAAAAATAATTGAGACCTCTGGGGGAGGGGGCAGTATTTCCCCATTTATGTTTTTAAAAGACAAACTTCAAAAGCCAGGAGATGGCATAATGGTTGCCTCACACTACCAGGGTCGCAGGTTTGATTCGGTTCCATTTTAATGTGTCGTATGTACTTGCAGGTTTCCTCCCACAGCCCAAATATGTGGACTAGGCAAACCTGCATCTCTAGATGTCCTACAGCACATGTAGCCTGTGAAGGACCATCATTCTATCCAGGGTGCCCCAGGCTTCGGGCCAACTGTGACCCTGCCCTAGATCATCGTGTAATGAATGGATAAAATGCTGCTAATGTCTGCATTATTAAAATACCACATACTTACCTTGCATATTACTCAAAAACTACAGTCCCGAAAATGACAATCAACACTTTTCACTGCTCTGGTCAGCTTTCCTGCATGCTGGAGGCTACTGCCCAAATGGCAGGGCATCATCCAGGAGCCAACATAATTGGTAAGAATTTTTCCCATCTGAACCCAAGTAGGATACTGTATGTAAATCCAAATATAGCTATAAAGGTTACTCATTTTTTCTTGAAACTATTAGTGGGAAGATGAAAAATTGAAGAAGCAAACAGTCAAGATTATTAATCAAAACAGGATGCAGTATAAGAAAAAGTACATGCGCAGCCTAGAATGTTTTACAATTTTTATGTAGTGCTGTCACTATCAATTATATCGAGTAATCTACCAATTAATGACAATTATCAGTTATAATATTATAAACGATACATTGTACTTGGCACAAGCAGGAACCAACCAACAATCGCAGGGTCACAAACACGGTCTACTTAAGGCATTTAAGTTGCATTTTTATGGACAGTGGAAGGAAACTGAAGACTGCCAAGAAGCCACGTCCACACAGGGTGAACATGCAAACTCCACACAAAAATCTTGTGCCGAATGTGTGTGAAATTAAATGAAAATGAGAGAAGAGGAGAAAAGCAAACAAGAACTGGTCACTAAAAGACATCAGTCTTCTGCTGTATGGAAATATTTTGTATTTCATAGACACGACATTGAGGAAAAGCAAGTAATTTGCCGTCACTACTGTGTCGTTTGCACTGCATTTGAGCTGTGATGATATTTAAGTTCTCCTTTGCAACACTGACAAATGACTGCATTTTCATTCACTCATTCATATGTGCCATCTCCCTCCTGCCATATTGCTAAGTAATAGAGAAGGAAAAATTTTGTGATGCTTTATAAGTAATCAATTAATCAAGTTTAACCAAGTAATCGTGACATCTCTATTTTTAAGTTCTCTTTCACCCAAAAGCACATTCACATCTGCCAGAGTATCAATCATGACAGTTTTCCACCCGTAGCTGAAACAAATATAAAACTTAGGCAAATAGGTTACCTTAAAAACTGCCCTTAACATGCTATTGTGCAACAGTGTATGAAATCACATATATATGAATGTCCAAAAAAAAAAAACTTCTATAATGCAACTTTCCGGAAAATCTATGCTTCATAGGACAGGCTCAAACCAAACAAATTAGAATCAGAGGTTATTGACGACAAATGTATTAAAGGCAACTTGGAACACTGCTTACATTGTAAAGTTCAGGTAAACACACATAGCAAACAATCACTGGTAGCTATTGTAGTGTAGCTATTGTTCTTTGAACTGCTGGCATATCGACACATTGAGTATCAGTGATACAATTATTTGAACTAGATTGTTTTAAGTAGCAATAATTCGTAGGCATAACAAGTGAAGCTTAAATTCAGTTAATGATTTTTTTGTAAAATAAAAAATTCCCACCAAGTTCTGCATCTGAAAAGGGGGATCTGTGATTATTTCCCATGCTATTCAGATTAATTTTTTGGACACTGGACAAATTTTTCAAAATTTCACACTTGCCAAAATGAGTCATGTTGAGCAAACCATATAAATATTTTAAGTCTAGATATGAACAATGAATACTTTCAAATTTACAAGACCAAATTGTATCCATATATAAAATCCATGGTCTTCAATATACTGAAGGATAATTTTAGGCTTTAAGGTACCATTAAGACTTTTCTAACCCACCACTTAAACTATGTATCATGACTAAATAGACAAAGCTTGCACAATACAGTTTGAAAATGGCTAAAGACCGACACCACTATTTGAGCAAATCCAAACAGCCTGAAGGGAACAACAAACATCAAGAAACACTGGCTGCAATGTTTGCAAGACAAGTGTCAAACCTGTGGAGACACCAGAAAGAACAATTAACCATAAACTGCCATGTGTTACCATAAGCCAAAAGTCAGCCTAGAAAGACCTTTGTTTAGCATCAAGGACTGAAGTGAATTTAGGCCCAGCACCAACCCAAGCTACAACTACAGAGAAGGCATTCAGCCAAAAAAAATCCCAGCGGCCAATCAGAAAAAGCATTAGCATAATAAGTCTACACAATAAAAACAATTATTGACAATAATAATAATAGCAAATTATTATTATAATAACCCTGTTCCATGCAAATTGCACAGTACCCTGAGTGTCCATTTTCTGTATTTACCATTTCTACTTGTCTAAACCATCAGTTTTAAAGGGGTTCATTCATAAGATTACAAGAGCTGTATTTATTATTAAAAGATTAGTACCTTCTGAGAAAATACATTAACTGAGGGATTGATGCATTAAGCTCCGTATGTGTCATGCTGACATTTCTGAAGAACTGGCTTTCCAAAACACATTGGCTTGCCTAACACACCTAGGCCCAGCCCTGAATGACAGATTTTCCAAGAAAACCACCGCCTGCATAACCCTAACCCACTTTACAATGGACCCATCCAGAATTTCTCAGAATCATACTTTCAGAAGGCATGAGCGCACACACCAAGTTCAGCCTGCCAGGAGAACAGGTTCAGAAGACATTCTACAGATACCAAAACAAAGCTAAAAATAATAAAAAAAAAAAAGGTCCATAAAACCTACCATAGACACATGCAGAAAATTCTATGCTGAACTACTCTCATTTCTACCTTATGCAGTTCATTAAAATGAAGCAAAGAACAGCAAATGCTCCAATGATGTACACGGAAAAACTTTGATGCAGGTAAGCTCTCGGCCTAAAAGGACACTAAGAGGATGACATGCACTGAAGCACATTCCCGGACCTACTGTCTGTGGGAAGGACTTGTCCAAACGCAAAGCACTGTCTGCACATACTTACCCTTCTTTCAGAAGCCCTCTTAAGACTGTTCCAAATTTCCGATTATGTACTTAAGACCAACGTCTTCTTTACCAACATAAACGTGCTTTTAGAATTCTGTTTTTTTGTGTGTCACTAAACACCTGCATCTATTTTTTGTTGTCTGGTACAAACCATTTAGTTAATCAAAAGGCTACACATCACCCTATTTAGACATTCGTAAAACATGGTTTTAGCGCATTTTCCCCCCAGGATCACACAAAAATATTACATTAGCATGCTGACTACTTAGCTTGTTTCAAAGTAACGTTCACTTCTATCACCGATTATAAAAGCCGAGGTCAACTTTTAAAAAAAAGGCAGTATATTCCAAAATCTCTCGCCACCCAACATTGGCCGCAAACATAGGAAACAACATTAAGTACCTTCCGTTTTACTTTTTTAGAAAGCGAATACCTTAATCAAGTCCTGTAGTCCTTCTTACCATTTCGTCCTGTTAACCGAAGTCACTCCCTACAAGCGAACCAGCTACACATCCACATAATAACAGCAGTTAATGCTAACGGATGATCGTCGATGATAGTGGCCATAACAGCTTAGCCGATAAACCCACCCATCGGAATGTACGATCCATTTTAGAGACCACACTAAAGTCGGATAAATACTCACCGGAGACGTTAGAAATATTTTATTTTAAAAGCCCACAAATGTTTGCCGGATGGGGGCCTTCCATAGGCCTACGTTGAAAATTAAAAATGACCATAATAATAATAAAAAAAAAACCCGCTAACACATTAACCACACAGCTAGGTATCCAAGTAGGCTGAACGAACCGGGAGGACATTTCCCCATTATTTAGTTAGCGATCCAGCTAGCTATGCAAACCACTGACCCGCTAGCTATCTATATTTAATTCAAGACGTTTACTCGCCAATAAAAACGGCCCGATTTAATTAATCGTATATCATGGAGGCTCCAGATGCACCTGTTCCGGTTGAGGCGAAATACACCCAGACCCGCTTCGCTCAAGCAGCCCAGCTCGCGTTTAATCTCAATCGCTTACATTGCTGCCTAAATACAATGCTGCGTTAAAAGTGCTAGTTACGGGCCAGCGACTTTGCCAGCGATGGCTGGTAACCGATGACAATGCTACGGTCCGCCTAAAAACCGGGACACTTTTAGCCGAAAGAAAACGGACAGGTAGCTAACAGACCCGACTAAACGCATGACCTAGCACCGCCACAAAGGAAATATTAAGAAAAACACACAAAGATAAACATAAGGCTTCATAACCGATAAAAAACTTGACTTTGACTTGTATAAAATTCTTTACCTTTAATTGCCGTCTACTGTCAAGGCCGTGTGAAATAAAGAACCGAGCAGAACACAGCCGAGCCGAGGGTAAGGTAACTTATTTCCTTTCGCATTGACCATCATCGGCCCGCGGTGGTGCCCGGTCCCGGTCGGTGGCGATGGTCAGCCGGGTACATAGGCTCTATCCCCATCAACTCTGCCTCTGCTGAAGGATCCCAGGGTGCGAGTACGGGGCCTCAGCGAGAATCCTTCGTTCCTTGTGCTTAAATTAAAAAAATGTCAGATTAAAGAGCTAATAAAAGTCAACACGGTATATACACTAGGCCATGTGTGTTAACGATAAAGCAGCCGTGGCTGCCGATTATTCCCCAATAACCGTCTGCCACAGCCTACACACCGCTTCCCCGGCTCTGACTCCCCTCCATACCAGCGATCTGATACGGCCAGCGAGCCGCCGAGGGTGCCGGCGCTGTCAGCCCGAGACTCCTCCCTTTCTGCGCTTCTGAAGAAGGGGAGTCTTTTAATAACATCGGCCCATTTCGTGTCCCCACCACCTTCTCCCTTCCATTCGGCTAGTTTTGTCTGTTTAAAACTATACGGTTGGCATGAATATTATCGTATGTGAATGAAATAGGCAGAAAATAACCAGACTGCGCTCCGCAAAAGCACCCCTCCTTTCCTTACGTCTCCCCTAGCCTCTTTATTCCGTTTAACTCGTAGCATAAACATTTTCCAAGAACACAAACGCACACTTTGCCCTCCCTCTCGCCGGGGTAGATGGAGTCAGTTCAGTACCCACGCGGGTTGCCATGACGATTAAACAAAATCGTTTTCCCCATCGTCGTTTAATGTCCCTTAATAAGGCATTACGGTGACTAACCAAGGTACTAATTTTTAGTTAAATGCTGAAATCCGATGTGTCGTTTTATTATGTAGTCGATAACTCAACATGCATGTTATTATCACATTAAAATCAATCAAAAATATTCGGGAATTTTCTCCTGCGAAAAAAGTTAACCGAAATATAATTTGATTAGTTGGAGCTCAGCTACATCTCCTACCGCAGCACTCAATTTATCTTGTTAATTAATTAATTGATATGGCTGCGTGTTTTTATTAGCAGTCCTAAAGAGGGTGTTATCCGTTGTATGGGGCGCCACTAAATGAGCACCGCCATTATTTAATTGCGCCACCGATCATTTTTAAGCAGGCTTTGCATCCTGCAGCAAGGGTGCATTCCTTTTTAAGCAATATCTAAATGCTCTTGTTCACTGACTTTTCACCAGTACCACTTATTTATGACTGCGCACATACTACTTATTCATTTAAAATGACAAACAGAGTAATTAAAATTCAGAAGACGATTATTATCCCTTTTAACTCTAAACGAGATATTTTTTTAAATATTGAACTCCAGCCAATCTTTCCTTTTGGGCGCAGTAAAAATGGATAGGTGGATTTTGAAAATGATCCTGCTTTCATTAACGGGGGGGCACAGCACGTGAATTTCTTGAAAAGTTGGTCCGTTTCAATTAATTTGATATTCCGCTTGTTTTTTTCCTCCCATTGGTTTTTATTTTCAGTCGATATGTGTCTTCCAATGAGTTATAATAGTATTTTACTGGAATGTGCAGTTCGAAGAATAAAAAAAAATGTTTCAGATTCCATGTCTACAATATATTAAGCTCTTCTTGAAATGAACCAGTGGAACATAATTCCATTCTGCATCCTTCAACGCGACCTGGATATCAGTTAGTTTTCAGACAGACTACGGCATTCTTTATCACCGCTGTAGCATTAAATACTGTAAACAAATTCAGTGTCACGCCACGTCATCCAATACCTTTTAAATTCTGTTATAAAAATAAAATGGGGGGAAAAAGTAAATTAATGAAAATACAATATAGAAAAGGAAAGTCAATAATATTAACATTTTTAATAGGAAAAGTTCTTTTAAAAAGTTTGCGAGAAACACAAAAACCTCCGAGCCGTACAAACTGAGTAAGATTTTTTAAAAGCAACAGTTAAATTCATTGAAGAGCAACAGGCACATTAAACACTCAAACTGTTGAAACTTCTCTGTTGCAACAGCACCCCCGCATGTATCATTAATGCCATAATATCGACTCTCCTCCCAGCGAGATGTAAAACATGTATCAGTCGAGAGAGAGACACTAAGCTGGTTATTTTTCATTTAATAATGAAATACTGCGTAATTTGTGAAATATGCAGTTTGTATGTCTTATACCATATTAAAATATCGCTCTGCCATGCAATATATGCATATAGCCAGGTAGGACATAGGTAGTGTCTATTTCTCCCATATATGGTTGGTAATATATTGCAGAGCAAAGAAAATGCTGTAGTATATATTTATTTATTTAGCCGTCTGGGAAACCTTTTCCATGCAGCACTCTGTGGAGTCTCCAGGTTTTTAGGTTACATTTCCATTAGGAATTAAAAATTTACACATAAAATCATTTAGAAATTCAAGGCTGAAATACAAAGATGCAGTGTATGGCCCTCAGTGGACCACATTTCTTCATCACTGCTTTACACGCACCTCACAGTGAGTCCTCAAATATGAATGTATATTGCCATGATACCAGTGAAACAAGTTAAAGTTATAAAATGAGTCCCAAATTGAAATCAAACATTTTTTTTCCTTTTCACATTTACTGGATTTATGTAGCTTCTGTCCCAGGCTCATGCTCCATGGTGTCGTTACTCTTCAATACAGTACAGAGTCCAAACACATTTCATAACACACTGCCAGTCTACCACCATACTAGCCTTCCTTCACCTCTATTGTCCTTCTACCTTCTCAAAGTACTACAAACATTTTAATTGGTTCCTGTAGCTCATTGTACATGTTTCTTTTGATTCATTGATTACTAATTATCTTAAATGGTTTGGTTTATGTATTCATTTGTGTAGCATAACTTCTGATAAAAGTGATTAAGATTACAATGGTGATCCTATTAGTATTTTTAGTATAGTTGTAATTACTATTATTGCTATTATCTTGTTGCCCTTAAGTTCCACTTGTATGTCACTACAAACTAATTCTGAAAGGTTCATCAGAATCTTGGTTCAGTTCATCAAATCATTGGCTTTCAGGAGCTGTTTGCGGCTCTCTGCTGAGAACAGCCATATGCAGGATCTGTTATTATGGTTGAAGGCTGAAAAACAATATTGTAACCCTGACATCTCCCTTTAAGCTCTTAAAAAATTCTATTAGTCCAAACGCCTGGGACAGTGTGTGTCATGGTACTTATTGATCCCCCCTGTCAGCCCCACCCTTTGCGTGCACAACAAATCAAGCTGAGTTTTCGTTCACTCACACACTCAGAAATACCCAGCCTTAAGGGCCTTAGCCTCCTAATGAGGACAGACTTCCATTTGATTGCCCCAATCAGCCAGGCTTTTTTTGGTGAGAGCATAGAACAGGAAAGAGAAGCAGATTAGGAATCATCTGACTCCCTGACACTTTGTTCACTGTGATCAAAAGGAAGGGCAGATTGTGGATTCATTTGGCAGGAAGTAAAAGCCTTACTGAAGCCTGTCTCCCAATAAACACTGCTTGCTTTCAATATAAGAGATTATTCTAGGCAGCGAAATCATAGGCTCCATCAACACAAAACAGAAAATGATCCCACAGCTACACTCATCCTGTTTTTCTCATCTACCTCACTTTTTTGCCTCTGTTGTAGAGATTTGTCGTGTTGTGCACTTTAAGACAGCAAGCGGATACAAGTTTACTTAGGTTAACACCTCTAAGGAAATCACATTGCCTTTCTCTCTAATTTCAGCTCAGTCGTAGAGTAAGAAATTAATCCTGAGTATTGTAAAGATACAATCTACCCTTCTCAGAATCAAACAGGGACAGGAGGGTATTAATTATTAAGCAGACAAATATTAAGACCTTTAGTAGTGAACAGGGCAGATGCACTCTGTGGGATCTATACCAGGTAACAAGGCCTTTTGCTGATCCATCTTTGCAACATTGTAATGCAGTGACTGTTCAACACTGAATTTTCTGCAACACTGCACTGCATTTCATTGTCTGCCAAAGGAAGTGTTTTGTAAGGTTTCGTAAAAGGACACTTACTTCAGAGCAGCTGATATAAAATATAGGAAAGCATGCTGCAAAACACCATTTACATTAAGATATTGAAATCTTTTTTTGTCTAGGGGGCAATTAGGATGTTTTGAAAGGTGGGCCCACGTTTAAAGGTCAATGTAATTTCATTAAAATATGTAAAGTGTATTGTGTTAGGAAATGATTTAATCCCAGAATTTCAAACTTTACACAATCAAAATGATTCAGGGTGTGCAGTGTGAACACACATATATAACATTGCTTTTAGGATTTAGCCATCACAAATGCAATCTGTTCTCTGTGATGGATAAGGCAAATTGGCAAATCCACCCCAAAGTGTAGTGAAAGTAATTCTGGTGGTGGTGTACAACGGCTGGTGATTTAATTTGGCAGCAGAATTAGTGCGGTGGTGCAGCAATTAGTGCTGCTGGATCACACTGTCAAGGTAACTGACTGAGTGTCAGCTTTTAGTCTCTGCAAGTGCCAGTTTGTGTAATCTCTCTGCATGTACTTTGCATGCCCTTGGGTCCTCTGGTTCTCTCCCAAAACGTGACGTCCCCATTGGCCATTCTGTGTGTGTCTGTGTGCCGATGATCTCCCTGAGTGGATGACTGCTGCTTCTGCCTCATCCCCTTAGCTGCTACTGCCTGCAATCTCTCATTATAACAGACTGCTTTAGGAGAGGGAGAGAAGAGTATTTTTACTATTTTTACTATAATAGTCCCCACAACCTGACACCCTGAACCTGCGTTGTTATTTTAATAAACAAATAGGTTAATTCACAAGCATTGCTCTTTGAAGTCTGTCCATGCTCAATATTTACTTGACGCCAGTTTTAAACAGTTGTAACTTGAACCATGAAGCAGCTGCACATGGCCACCACCCTGTAAAACTGTG